TTCCATGAAATATCTAAGCTAGCAGGAATAAAAAGGAGTACATATCACAATTTATCTTCATAACTCATAATATCCATGGACAATATCTTCCCTTTCCTAAGTTTCTTGTGCTCTAATTTTATTCCATCTTCCTCTTTTTGTTCAATCTTCAGAACAAGTAATATATGATCAGCAGAATTTATATTTTTCTATATAATAGGGTGAATATAGTTTACAATGATCTATTTATTGTATATGTCCATTAGCTAGAAGAGAATAATTCCAATTTTTCTAGTATGAAGAAAAGACAAATATGTAAGGTGATGGATAGCCCAATAACACTGATTTGATCTTTATGAATTATATGGATATATTAAATTATTTGGACCCCTAATATATGTACATCTATTATATATCAATAAAAATAAAATTAAAGTAAAGCTTTAACTCTGTGGCAGAAACTGTAGGTCAGCCTACCCCAATACCTATTTTCCAAACTTTTATACTCTACTCCAATCTAGATGAGATACAATGTATATGCTATTTATCCCAGTCTCACTTGCTCTGAAGAGTCAAGTGACAGAGCTCTGGCCAAATAAACATGTTGTGATATAGATAGGATACCTAGAGCTGTGGCAACCATTTTGCATCCTTGTAGGAGAGAATAATATAATCACAGAAATGCCACCCTAACTGCATTGATTCAGTGAGCTCCTGCAGCAACCAAAATAAAATGTCCTCTTATTTGAGAAAAATATGTTGAAGGAATAGTTTGCTTGGAAAAAAAATAGTAAAAAGAGAAAAGTAGAGTCCTATATAACACATTATTATTAGTATGTTCTATTGCAACTGAAAATTGAATATCCAAACATCACTAAGCCCATTCAGTCATGTAAAAATCAAAAGTATGCTGCTTTGTTGAAAACAAAACAAAAAACTTCTAGATGTTCATTTTCTGAAAAACATCTATTTTTGACTATTTAAAAGGATGCTATTTATGGAATCTTTTCAAACACTAATCGAAACATTGGATTGTGTTGATATATACAATTCATAGTATTAGTCTTTGTATTAGCTTTTCTGTGTTATTAGATCCCCATCATTACATATACCATCTATCTTTATTGATAAGGCACACTTTGACTGGTGTATTCAAGCATCTAAAGGTGACTACAGTTGTCAAATGTATTGGTTGTCTCTTGGTCATCAACCACCTGATGCATCAAAGTAAGTAACATAGATTTTATTTTTGCTACAAATCCCTAGCTTATTGATTCTTTGACATGTGTCAAAGAGTGATGAAAAACAATTATTATACACTTCCATGAAGAATCTAAGCTAGCAGGAATAAAAAGAAGAACATGTCATAATTTATCTTCATAATTCAAGATAGCCACTGACAACTTCTTCCCGTTCCTAAGTTTCTTATGCTCTAATTTTATTCCATCTTCCTCTTTTCATTCAATCTTCAGAACAGGTAATATATGATCAGCAGCATTTACATTTTTCAAGCCGCTTACTGGCATTGTATCCACTGGATATTAATTAATGAACTGAATAAAAATAAAATGAATGAGCATTATTTCTTTATTTTTGATATTATGTAAATATATGTTTAAGTGACAACTTATTTTTCAACACATCATTTTAATGCCATGAAATTTATTTTGACAAACATTGAAGTTATATAAGCTAAATAAATGGAGGAGGCTCCTGAGGGCTTGTCAAATTGACCAGATAAGGATAATTTGTAATTGATGTATTAATTTTTTGCAGGAAGGTAGGTAGTGACAAAATGTTGAAGCCACTTAAGGAGGTAAAGGTTGCTTACTAAAGGATTAATTGTAGGATTAAGGGTTTAAAGGAGGAAACTAACAATAATCCATAATTGTAGTACTAGATACTTTCTTACATAAGTAATACTAAAAAGAGTAGGCTCTATTCATGACATTTTAGAGTGGCTTTGAATGGCTGTGTTACACACTCAATGCCACACAACTATTAAGTGGAGAAGCCTAATTTTAGGTTCTATTTGATATCAGAGTCTGTGCTGTTTTCACAGATGCTTGAAAGTTTTCTTTTCCACCTATTTTCAGATTTTATTTTTTAACATCTAGAAAATTCCAAAGTTTAAATTTTGAGGGTCTAAATTAACATTCACCTATGACAGTTGTTGACACATAAGTGATGGTTAAAAAATAAATATTTGCTAAAATGAAATAAATTTATTAAAATATGCAATTATTATATACAAGCGTGCATTTAGTAGTCATGCCTACCTTAGAAACTCTAAAATTTAATAATCACCTCCAGAGTAAGGCTTATGCATTGCCCATTTTTTTGTAAAAGCAATTATAATGGTTAAGAGCATGGGCTCTGTGGTCAACATAGTAGATATAAAAGTTTGATTCTGTCTCTCACTAGTTCTGTAACTTGTGAGAGACTTGAATTTAACCTTTTGTGTTCAATTTCCTCAACTTTGAAATGTTAGTAACAATATAACTTACTGTTGATTTATTGTTCTCTTCTCCTCTCTGGGCAGGCCAGACTCTAGGAAATGATTAAATCAGCAGCAAACCCACCTAAACCACAGGCTTAAATTATCCCATTAAAAGGCAAGAGGAGATTGAGCATCTGCCTTTTGTCAGTCTTGGGTTTCATTTCTGGAGTTATATCAACTGGTTGGTAGAACACGTGAGACAATGTGACTATATAATTATCAGTTTTTAAACATATGCTCTTTTAACTAGAGTCGTGATGGGGGAAACGATAAGTCTGCAGTTCCTTAGATGTCTTCTAGAGTGTGACAAGGGAGCAAGGAACAAGGGATCAAGAAGCAGTTCCTGGATATTTAGATAAATTTTGAGTAAAGGGTACCTTTGAGCTAGACAAAAAGGGAGAAAAACACATTTCAGGTAAGAGGGATAAGATATGTAAAAATATGTAGACAAAAACCAGCACAATAAAACTTTTGAGGAAGTGCAAGTAACTATGGGTGAATAGGGCAAAAATTATAATAGGAAGGAGTTGAGGGTAGAGAGAGGTGTAAGGACCAAACCACTAAGGGTTTTGATGTCAAACTGAGGAATTTATTGTTTGTAGTTAAAGTGACTGGAACAGAGCCAGGGTACAGCCAGACAGACCATTTAAAAAACAATTGTGAAAGTCAGTGCAAAATATGATGGACACGTTGAAAAAACATTATTATTTATGTTTATGTATTTGAGTGTTTCTAAGGAAAATGGAGAAAAAGAATGGAAGAAGACACCAGATTGTCAGTGTTAGTTACTTCTAAGAAATAGGGTTCGTGGGGACGGGGATATAATTTATGTTATTTGATTGCTTACAGCAGGCATATTTTACTTTTCTAAAGTTTATTTAAAAGTCATTAAATTAAAAGCCCATTTATTAATTTTGCTGCTTAAAATATGTACAATACCTCACACAGAATTTGCACATATACAAATGGAAGGTATTGCATACTTCAACATTTCCAGAAATAAAGACCAGAATTCTTTCTTTGTTAAAAAAAAAAAAGAAAGAAAATTTTATTTTAAATTACAGACTGGTTGCTGGAATTATATACATAATAGGTAGTGTCAGAGAAGATTTTCAATCACATCATCTGTTTGGTTTAAATAAAATCTGGATGTTATAAAGCATATGTTTGCCTGTTTTCACTTCTTTTGCCATTCTAGAGAAATACCTTACAAAGAAAACAATATCAATCAAAACATAACATCTCTGATATTTTAAAATGGAACAGGCTACAAATAGAGACTATCTACTCTAAGCCGAAACTAGATGCCTTAAAATAAGCTATTTGAAACCATGAATATATATTGGATAAACATGATATATGCAACAAATCCATAGAATGTTGTCTTCTTTCACATGCATAAAATTCTCAGGATTCTTAAAGGCAAAAATTCAAAAAATGATACAGTTAGATAAGATATACATTAATCCATGTGCTTCAATATCCCTTCTTTATATGAATTACATTAATCATTTAAAATGAAAAGGCTCAGATTTTTAGAGAATCAAGTATTAAAAATGCATTCTTTTATCAAATTTAAAATGAATAATTGCTTTTGTTATTAAAGAAGATAAATTAACCTGTATGAGACAATTAAAAACAAGGTAATAATATATTATACTTATCATTTATCCAGACTTTTATCACTAATATCCCATTCCTATTTCAAGTTAGTATGTGACTGGCATGCTTGTTATATTTCAAAGTAACAAAAAAGTGAGAAAAAACCTTTTTTGACAGTGGAAGCACCATTTCGTTCTATTTTCTTATAAAAATAGATGAAATTGTATCTTCATGCATAAATGACTCAATAATTTTAAGCTTTATAAATTATTTTTTTTAATCTAGGGGGTAAACACTAGATGCATATATTTATGGGGTATATGAGATATTTTGATAGTCATGCAATATGAAATAAGCACATCATGGAAAGTGGAATATCCATCCCCTCAAAAGTTTTTCCTTTGAAATATAAACGATCAAATTACATTCTTTAAGTTATTTAAAAATATAATTATTGTCTATAATTACCCCATTGTGCTACTGTATAGTTCTTACTCCTTGTTTCTATATTTTCTTAACCGTTAAGCATCCCCACCTTTCTCCCAACCCCTGACTATCCTTCCCAGATCTGGTAACTATCCATTTGCTCTCTATGTCCATGCGATCAATTGATTTGAATTTTGGATCCCACAAATAAGGGATAACATGAGATATTTGTCCTTCTGTCCCAGACTTATCTCACATAAAATAATGATCTCCACTTCTACCCATGGTGTTGTTTACTGGATCTCATTCCTACTCAGTTGTTTACTGGATCTCATTCCTTTTTGTGGCTGAATATACTCCAATGTGTATATGTACTGAATTTTCTTCATTCATTTCTTAATGAACACTTAGGTTACTTCCAAATTATAGCTATTATGGACAATGCTGCAACAAAGGAGTGCAGATATCTCTTCCACATACAGATTTTCTTTTTGGGGGTGGGGGGTATATACCCAGCTGTGGGATAGCTGGATCATATGGAAGCTCAATTTTTAGGTTTTTTTTTTTTTAATGTTTTATATTTCCATAGATTATTGGGGAACAAGTGGTGTTTGGTCACATGAGTAATTTCTTTAGTGGTGATTTTTGAGTTGTTGGTACACCCTTCTCCCAAGCAGTATACACTGCACCCTATTTGTAGTCTTTTATTCCTTACCCCCTTTCCACTTTTTTCGTGTGAGTCCCCAAAGTCCATTGTATCATTCTTATTCCTTTGCATCCTCACAGCTTAGCTCCCACATATTAGTTAGAACATACAATGTTTGGTTTTCCATTCCTGAGTTACTTCACTTAAAATAATAGTCTCCAATCTCATCCAGGTCGCTGCAAATGCCATTAATTTATTTCTTTTCATGGCTGAATAGTTGAGTAGTATTCAAACATATATATATATATATATATATATATATAAACTCACAGTTTCTTTATCCACTTGTTGATTGGCTTGCATTTGGGTTGGTTCCACGTTTTTGAAATTGCGAATTGTGCTGCTATAAACATGCGTGTGCAAGTATATTTTTCGTAAAATTATCTGTTTTCTTCTGAGTAGATACCCAGTAGCAGGATTGCTGGATCAAATATTAGTTCTACCTTTAGTTCTTTAAGGAATTGCCACAGGTTTTTTCACAGTTGTATACTAGTTTACATTCCCACCAGCAGTGTAGAAGTATTCCCTGTTCACTGCATCCATGCGAAAATCTACTGTTTTGTTGATTTTTTGATTATGACCATTCTTGCAGGAATAATGTGGTATTGCATTGTGGTTTTGATTTATATTTCCCTGATCATAGTGATGTTAAGCATTTTTTCATATATTTGCTGGCCATTTATATATCTTCTTTTGAGAATAGAATATTCATGTCCTTAGCCCATTTTTTGATGGGATTATCTGTTTGTGTTTTCTTGTGGACTTCATTGAATTTCTTATATACTTCAGATATTAGTTTTTTGTCCAATTGTGAAGATTTTCTCTTATTCTATGGATTGTCAGTTTACTCTGCTGACTGTTCCTTTTGCCATGCAAAAGCTCTTTAGCTTAATTAACTCCTGACTATTTATCTTTGTTTTTATTGCATTTGCTTTTGGGTTCTTGGTCAAGAAATTTTTGCCTAAGTCGATGTCTAAAAGGATTTTTCCAATGTTATTTTCTAGAATTTTTTTAGTTTCAGGTCTTAGATTTAAGTCTTTAATCCATCTTGAGTTGATTTCTGTATAAAGTGAAAGATGAAGATCCAGTTTTATTCTCCTACATGTGGCTAGCCAATTAACCCAGCACCATTTGTTGAAAAGGATGTCCTTTCTCCACTTCATGTTTTTGTTTTGTCAAAGATCAGTTGGCTGTTAAGTATTTGAGTTTATTTCTCGTTTTTCTATTCTTTTTCCATTGGTCTATGTAAATATTTTTATACAAGTAGCATGCTGTTTTATTGACTATAGCCCTATAATATTGTTTGAAATCATGTAATGTGTTGCCTCCAGATTTGCTCTATTTGCTTAGTCTTGCTTTGGCTATGCAAACCCTTTTTGGTTCCACATGAGATTTACAATTTTTTTTCTAATTATGTGAAGAATTATGGTGCTATTTTGATGAGAATTGCATTGAATTTGTTGATTGCTTTTGGCAATATGGCCATTTTTTCAATATTGATTCTACACATTCATGAGCATGGGATGTGTTTCCATTTGTTTCTGTCACCTATAATTTGTTTCAGCAGTATTTTGTAGTTTTCCTTGTAGAGTTCTTTCACCTCCTTGGTTAGGTATATTCTTAAGTATTTTATTTGGATTTTTTGCAGCTATTATAAAAGGGGATGAGTTATTTATTTTATTCTCAGTTTTGTTGCTATTGGCATATAGAAAAGCTACTGATTTGTGTACATTAATTTTGTATCTGGAAACTGCTTAATGCGTGTATCAGTTGTAGGAGCTCTCTAGAGAAGTCTTTAGAGTTTTCAAGGTGGATGATCATATTATCAGAAAATAGTGTCAGTTTGACTTTTTCTTTACCAATTTGGATGCCCTTTATTGCTTTCCTTTGTTTGATTGCTCTGGTTAAGGCTTCCAGAACTATACTGAATAGGAGTGGAGAGAGTTGGCATCTTTGTCTTGTTCCAGTTCTCAGAGGAATGCTTTCAACTTTTTCCCATTCAGTATTATGTTGGCTATGGATTTGTCATAGATGGCTTTTGTTACATTGAGGCATATCCCTTGTATGTCGATTTTGCTGAGAGTTTTAATCACAAAGGGATACTAGATTTGTCGAATGCTTTTTCTGCATCTATTGAGATGATCATGTGATTTTTTTTAACTTAGTTTATGTGTGTATCACATTTATTGACTTGAGAATGTTAAACCATTCCTGCATCCCTGGCATGAAACATACTTGATCATGGTGGATTATATTTTCGATACGTTGTTGTATTTGGTTAGGTAGTATTTTGTTAAGGACTTTAACATCTATGTTTATCAAGGATATTGATCTCTAGTTTTATTTTTTGGTTATGTCCTTTCCTGGTTTTGGTATTAGGGTGATCCTAGCTTCAGAGAATGATTTAGGGAGGGTTCTCTCTTTCTCTATCTTGTGGAATAGTGTCAAAAGGATTGGTGTCAATTCTTTGAATGTCTAGTAAAATTCTGCTATGAAACCATCTGCTCCTGAACTTTTTTTGTTGGTGGTGGTAGTTTTTTAATTAGCATTTTAATCTTGCTGCTGGTTTTGAACTGTTCAGGGTATTGAATTCTTCCTGGTTTATGCTAGGAGGGTTGTATCTTCCCAGGAATATATCCATCATTTCTAGATTTTCTAGTTCATGCAAATAAAGGTGTTCATAGTAGCTTTGAATGGTCTTTTGTATTTCTGTGGTGTCAGTTATAACATCTCCCATTTCATTTCTTATTGAGCTTATTTGGATTTTCCTTCTTATTTTTTTGGTTAATCTTGCTAGTGGTCTGTCAATTTTATTTATCCTTTCAAAGAAAAAGGTTTTTGTTTTATCTTTTGTATTTTCTTTATTTGTTTGTGTCAATTTCATTTAGATTTGCTATGATCTTGGTTATTTCCTTTTTTCTGATGAGTTTGGTTTGGTTTGTTCTTGTTTCTCTAGCTCCTTGAGGTGTGATCTTAGATTGTCTGTTTGTTCTCTTTCAGTCTTTTTGCTGTAGGTGTCTAGGGCTATGACCTTTCTTTTTATCACCATTTTTGCTATATCCCAGAGGATTTGATAGGTTGTGTCACTATTGCTGTTCAGGTCAAAGAATTTTTTAATTTCCATCTTGATTTCATTTTTGACCCAAGGATCATTTAGGAGCAGGTTATTTAATTTCCATATATTTACATGGTTTTGAAGGTTCTTCTTGGAGTTGATTTCCAGTTTTATTCCACTTTAGTCTGAGATAGTACTTGAAAATTTTCTTTAATTTACTGAGGCTCGTTTTGTAGCCTATCATATGATCTATCTTGGAGAAAGTTTCATGTGCTGTTGAATAGAATGTATATTCTACAGTTGTTGGGTGGAATGTTCTGTATATATCTATTAGGTCCATTTGTTCCAAGGTATGGTTTAAATCCATCGTTTCCTTGTTGGCTTTCTGTCCTGAAAACCTGTCTAGTGCTGTCAGTGGAATATTGAAGTCCCCCACTATTATTGTGTTACTGTCTATCTCATTTATTGGGCCTATTAGTAATTGTTTTTATAAATTTGGGAGCTCCAGTGTTAGGGGCATATATGTTTAGGATTGTGATGTTTTCCTGTTGAACAAGGCCTTTTACTATTGTGTAATGTCCCTCTTTGTCTTTTTTAACTGCTGTTGCTTTAAAGTTTGTTTTGTCTGACATAAGAATAGCTACTCCTCCTTTCTTTTGGTGTCCATTTGCATGGTATCTTTTTCCACACTTTTACCTTAAGTTTATGTGAGTCTTTATGTGTTAGGTGAGTGTCCTGAAGGCAGCAGATAGTTGTTTGATGAATTCTTATCCATTCTGCAGTTCTATATCTTTTAAGTGGAGCATTTAGGGCATTTAAACTCAATGTTAGTATTGAGATGTGAGGTAACATTTCATTCACCATGGTATTTGTTCACTGTGTACTTTTTTTTTTGTTTTGTTTTTGTTTTTGTTATTTAAATTGTGTTCTTGTTTATAGGTGTGGGAGATTTATGCCATAGAGAGATTCTGTTTTGATGTGTTTCCAGGATTTATTTCAAGATTTTGAGTTCCTTTTAACAGTTCTTGTATGGGTGGCTTGGTAGTGGCAAATTTGTCTCAGCATGTGTTTGTCTGAAAAAGACTGTATCTTTCCTTCACATATGAAGCTTAGTTTTGCTGGATCCAGAATTCTTGTCTGACAATTGTTTTATTTGCGGAGGCTGAGGGTAGGGCCCCAATTCCTTCCAGCTTGTAGGGTTTCTGCTGAGAGATCTTCTGTTAATCTGATAGATTTCCCTTTATAGGTTACCTGGTACTTTTGTCTCATAGCTCTTAAGATTCTTTCCTTCACCTAACTTTAGATAACCTGATGACAATGTGCCTAGGTGATGATCTCTTGGCAATTAATTTCTCAGGAGTTCTTTGTGCTTCTTGTCTTTGGATATTTAAATCTCTAGCAAAGACAGGAAAGTTTTTCTCGATTATTCCCTGAAATATGTTTTCCAAACTTAGATTTTTCTTCTTCCTCAGGAATGTCGATTATTCTTAGGTTTAGTCATTTAACATAATCCCAGACTTCTTGAAGGCTTTGTTCATATTTTCTTATTTTTTGTTTGTCTTTGAATTGAGTTTACTCAAAGACTTTGTCTTTGAACTCTGATTCTTTCTTCTACTTGTTCAGTTCTATTGCTGAGACTTTCCAGAGCATTTTGCATTTCTGTAAGTGTGTTCATTGTTTCCTAAAGTTCTGATTGTTTTCTATTTATGCCATCTATTACATTAAATATTTCTCCCTTCACTTCTTGTATCATTTTCTTGATTTCTTTACATTAGACTTCACTTTTCTTTGGTGCCTCCCTGATTCACTTAATAACTAACCTCCTGAATTCTTTTTCAGGTAAATCGGATATTTCTTCTTGGTTTGGATCCATTGCTGGTGAGCTAGTATAATTTTTTGGAGGTGTTAAAGGGCCTTGATTTGTCATATTACAAGAGTTGTTTTTCTTGTTCCTTCTCATTTGAGTAGCCTCTGCCAGAGGGGGGTTCTAGGGCTGAAGGCTGTTGTTCAGATACTTTTGTCCTCCAAGGTGTTCCCTTAATGTAGTATTATCTCCCTTTTCCTATGGATGTGGTTTCCTGAGAGCCAAGCTACAGTGTTTGTTATCTCCCTTCTGGATCTAGCCATCCAGCAAGTCTACCAGGCTCTAGGCTCTTATTGTGGGTTGTCTGCACTGAGCCCTGTGATGTGAAGCATCTGTTGGTCTTTCCTGCTCCAATGAAGGTGGCAGAGAGGCGAAATTAACTTTGAAGATTCTTAACTTTGCTGGTTTAATGCATTATTTTTGTGCTGGTTGGCCTCCTGCTAGGAGATGGTGCTTTTCAAAAATTATCAGCTGTGTTAAAGTGGAAAGAAACAGGTGGTGGCAGGGTCCCTAGAACTCCCTAGAGTATATACCCTTTGTCTTCAGTTACCAGGGTGGGTAAGGAAAGACCATTGGGTGGGGGTAGGGCTAGGCATGTCTGAGCTTAGACTCTCTTTGTGGAGGCGGTCTTGTAGTGGTTGCTGTGGGGAATGAGGGTGAGGTTCCCAAGTCAATAGAGTTATGATCCTAGGAAGATTGTGGCTGTCTCTACTGTGTTATGCAGGTGATCAGGGAAGTGGGGAAAATCTAGTAGTCACAGGCCTTACCCAGCTTTCATGCAATCTGAAGGGCCAATATCACTCCCACTGTGTCCCTGTCAATAGCACTGAGTCTGTTTCCAGTCAGTGGGCAAGCAGAGGTGAGAACTTGCCCCAGGCTACCCACTTCCCAGTTGCTAGAGCAAGTATGAATTTCCTTTCCCCACCTGTAGAGTCTGCACACAGGATTCATGCCTTCTTCTGAGTTCTGGCCAGGAGGCTTCTCAATTAGTTCAAATCATTATAAAGTTCAGTTGGAGATTTTCTTCTCCCTGTGGCCTTTTCCCAGCTCCTCTGGCTGCCCTCCCAAAGGATCCCGGTGAGGCCAGGCAGGAGTGGCCTGCTCGAGGACCCAGCAAGCTCACAGGAGCTTTCCCCACTGCTTCCTCTACCTTTGTATTTTGCTCCGCTCTTTAAATTGACTCAGCTCCAAGTCAGGTAAGAATCTTCTCCCATAATCTAAACCTTCAGTTTCCCCAGTGGGAGTGTGTGTTTGGAGGCGAGTGATCTCCCATTCCACTTCCACAGTTTGGGCACTCACATTATTTGGAGTGTCTCCTGAGTCCTGCAGGAGCAATCTGCTTCTTTTCGAGGGGTTATAGGTCCTCTCAGGTTTCCTGGCTTATTCCTGCAGTTGTTTTGGAGCTAAAATTTATGATGTAAGCCTCCACACACTGCTCTGTCTGTCTGAGCGAGAGTTGCAATCTAGTCCTGCCTCCAGTCTGTCGTAATCCCCCAATGTCTGGAAGACTACATTTAGAAATTGGCCTCATTAAGCATGTGTCTTTCTGCTTTAAGAGACTGTTTCCTGAAACCTGTAGCTGCAGTCCTCTTGGCTTTTGCTTTCCTGGCTCTATGGCCAGGAACCCCTTTGGGGCTGCTTTTGCTCCACATGAGTCTGATGATATTCTGATATTGCTTCCCAGTGCACTGCAGCTGTGGGCTCAACTTCTGGTTTGTTTGTTTGTTTGTTTTTAGAAACTTACAAGCCTTCCAAATAGTGGTTTTATTAATTTACATTCTCAACAATAGTGTGCAGTGGTTCCATTTTCTCCACCTCTTTGCAAGCATTTGCTACTGCCTGACTCGAGATAATCCATTTTAACTTTGGTGAGACATCTCATTGTAGTTTTGATTTGCACTTTTCCGATAATCAATGCTGAGTACCTTTTCATACGCCTGTTTACCATTTTATGTCTTCTATTGAGAAATGCCTATTCAAATCTTTTGCCCATTTTTATTGAATTATTAGATTTGTTGTCTATAGAGTTGTTTGAATTCACTATATATTTTTGTTATTAATTTCTTATCAAATAAGTAGTTGGCAAATATTTTCTCCCATTCTGAGAGTTGTCTCTGTATTTTGTTGAATGTATTTTTTGCTGTGCAGAAGGTTTTCAGTTGATAGGATTCAATTCGTCCATGTTTGCTTT